ATGATAAGAAATATAAAGCGGCAGGAAGCCAGCAAAATGCAGGTGAGCCCAATCCCTCAGTTTCAGGCCAAAATCCTCCAGTCAGAACTGTAATGAGTTAAAGTAGAAATGGATCACCAAAAGAGAGAAATACACAGCTAGTCTCACACGAAAGAAATATAAACAGATTCCAGCTGTCTCATCCTCTGTTGTCTTCAACAGTTTCAAAATCCCTCACAATAACTCTCTTTTCTTTAGCATTCTTTGACAGTATAATGGTTCCTCAATATATGTCTGAATTCCAGGGAAACATATCCGGATAAAGATCCCTTATTCTTATTATGGAAAATATCTGACTACAGACAAAAGGATCCAAGTTACTGCTTTGTGTGAAGTCATGCACACAAATGGGGTGAAGTTGCTGGTGGAGAAGACAATCATTTTAGAGGACACAAATATTATCATTAAGGTAAAAAATTCTTTCCCCGATGTCCCAAACAGACAGAAAGAACTAAAGAATCTTTCTGGAGCTCAGATCTTAAGATGAGACTTTGAGGATAAATGCACGAGTTTAGGCTGTAATTTCAAATATTCTTCTAAACTTCTGCCTGCTTAAGTTGAGAAAGTAAGCATGTAAGACTAGTTTCAACCTCTACCCAAATGTGTCCCCTATTCTTCAGAACAGCTGCTCTGTTACCTTCTTTCTTTCCCAGTCACATGCCACTGAGTTATGTTCCCAGGGCTTGTAGTCTGTTTATTGGTAAGTGCTTTTGCTGCCTTTAAACAACTTTTCTTACTCCCAAAATACAGACTTAAACCCTTAATTCTAATCGGTGTTAGAGTCAGTTTATATTATTTTAACACTTTAGTCCTAATCATTGATATACCCTTCCCCCGCCAAAAGCCACTCACCCAAAGATCAGGCAGGTTTAATGAGATGTGTCTGTATAGTCAGAGCTCTATTTCACTGAAATTGTGCACGAAACACTGCCTACAATTTCACAGCACTACTTAGCCAATCCAAAGTGACTTTAAATTATTAGGAAAGCCCTACCAGTTGTCAGTTAAGTTTCATGGCTCCTACCAGTATCTCATTCACCTTCAAATCTGAGGGATGTTCTGCTTACAGTTTGACTGAAGCCCAACTCCAGAGAAGTGTGAACTAGTGAATGATCAGAAATATGTCTTTGTCATTTAGATTCCTCGACACGTCGTAGTGAACAAAGCTGTTACTCTAGAGATCTCATACGCCAATCCCCTCCCTGAACCTGTGAATCGCTGCGTACTGCTAGTGACTTTGATGAATCAGCAGGTCAAGATACAGTAAGTGAAAGCTGTAGCATTTACTCAGTGCTTCTAACATGATCAAACAGCATGTCTAGTTTCTCAGTAAGAAAAAAACACAACTCATGGTTGAATCGTCTTTTTTGTATTACCTATTTATGAAAATGCCAACAAATATACATTGAGACATTATGATTTCTCAATCATGTATTATTTTTTCCACACAGGAACTTCTCTAACAACTAAAAACTGCTAACATTCTTCTGTCCTGGGAAAGAAAATGAGCACGTCAAATTCTTTTCTCTCTAATATTTCTTCTACAGCTTGGCTTTGTGTTTTGGTTTTGATTTATTTTTTTATGTACAGTACCTTAATACTACAAAAATATGTCTGAGCTGAAGCAAACAAATAAGACATTGCCATAGCTCCCCTCATTTCAGCCCAACAGCAAAGTTGCTCTTCTACTTTAAAGTAGGAGAAAGTCATGCCTTTTCAAAACGTAAGAGCAAAATGATGTATTACATTTTTCTTCTGGACGCTGCTGTTTTACGGATTAACTCAGTGTTGAGTAGATCAAATATCCTAAAGCTTGCTTTGTTATATAACAGTCTGACTAGTTATGGCTCTGCAAATATTTGGACATAATAATCCATAAAAGTATGGAAAATATTATTCCAGTGAAACACTAAGGCAATTTAGACCAAAGGGAGATGCAAAATAAAGCACCTTGGCCACTAGAAAAATTAAATTATTGACGAAACAAGTACGAACCAAGCTAGCATTAGACAGAGCAGTGACCTTTGGCATCAGAATCTTTCTGAGTTTGTGTTGACTACTCAGACTTTTACTGAGCCCTGCCATGGCAACATGACATAGCACTTCTCATTTCCATCAGTCTATTCAAGAGTAAATGCATATGGCACTACCTGTTCTCATTTCTTTGTCTACACAGAGTCTCAAATCCTAAGTAATTCTCGAAAACCAAGGCTGGGTCTCAAGTAACTGTTGGTTTCCTACTAGAAATTCTGCTTCTTGGGATTCTCAAGGGAAAAAAACATAAGTCTGAATTAATTTATTTTTATTTTTTTTTCAGTCTGGCACGACTAGCACCAAGAGAGAGATCAAAAATTTATTTTGAATTCACACCTCGCAGGACTGGGCCCTTACAGCTGCAAGTAGACTTCTCCTGTGACAAATTTTCACATGTTAAGGGATTTGTAACCATTGCAGTAGCACCTGCCTAATGTGGTGGAATCAATCTCCTATTTGAGCATTAATATAGCAAGACATTCTCCTCTGTATATGAACAGTGATGACAGCAAGCAACTTTCAACAAAAATTGGCGACCTCTTACACTGCAATAGAATCAAGTCTCCTGCCTTCACAGTGCTTAATTATTTAGTTTCTATTTGTATTTCTTTATTTACTCCTCTTGTCTAGAAAAATGAAGCCCCTTCCTTGTAGAAATAATTTCACTCTTATCACATCTCATTGTGTTAAGCTCCTGGTTTTGACTTTTCCATCAGATAATAATAGTCTCTTTTCAATCACATTCTAATTGTCAGCAATAAATAAAAAACTATTCATATAACAGTATTATTCTGCAATGGGTTATACATTCCATGGAAATAATATGAGAAATTATATGATTGAGGAAAGTTATTTTTCCTTCATTTCACAAGCTCCTTACCTAAAAAAGTAGAACATTTCCTCCATCGTTATTTAATTTCTGTCTTTTGCAACACATGTAACACTGTGAATGGGGACAAAAAGCCTACGAAGGCTGGAAAAAGTAATGTTTGGGGTCTACAACAACAGTATGTCTGTAGGCTGTGGGTGTAGGTCTGTTGCAGAGCAGACAGCACATGCACATGTTCAGAACAGTAACCTGATTGAGAGAGCCCTGAAGAACATGGAACACAGGGAGAGCATCATGTTAACACAGAAGTCCAGCAACAAAGGGCAGCTAACACCTTCTGCCCACCAGGGTAAGATCACTAGAGACAAGGAACACAGTTGCCTTCAAACCCTCACAATGCCTCGCTCCACACCTCTGCCACCGTGGTTGCATACAGATGCCTCTTCTGTGGGTTCCTGATCCTAATGCTGCCAGGTACCAGGTCTCACCTGACAAGCACTTTCAAGTAGCTTTAAAGATTCTCTATTGCTGCAGGTAACACAGGGACTGCTGCGAGACCTAGTGCCTGACAGGGCACAGAGATCACACCTCAGAAGCAGCGTGTGAGGCAGTGACGACGTACAAACACCTCTACCAAGTCTGAAGATTTAGATTTGTTGCCCAACTTACGAAACATTTAAAGCAGAATTAATAAGGCCAAAATTCTGAATCGCAGAGCTGTCAGGAGTTTGATACAGACATCTTTTGTCTGACAGGTGACAGTATCTCAGAGAGGCTGATGCGTACAGACACAATCACAAATTCTTACTGAAAAAATACCCAAGAAACCATAACAAAACTTTAGATTCCTTTTTTTAAAAAATAAATTTAAGCTCCGTGTAATTAATTTGCCTTTCTGGTTGCCAGCAGTCATGATACGAATTTCAAAACAAAGCAGAAAACAGCAACAGACCAAAAAAAAAAAAAAAAGACACAATGTGGAAGTGTAGAGGAGAGGAAAATAAGGGATCACTCCTTCTCCTCTTACATCCCTTACTCTTCAGTCACAGTCCATTGAACATGCAGAACAGTGTGCAACCTTCTCTTGGGACAAATTGGCAGGATATGTTTCTAGATAAGGATGACATCCTGTGACACACAATGGGGGAGGAGAGCGAGCATGACAGAGCTTCAAGAGTGGAGCAGAGAGTGTAATTAGAATGGGCAAGGTTCGCACCATAAGAACAGCTCTATAGCTTCCTCCGGGGCCCAACTCAAGACGCCATGCCAAAGAGCAACGAACTACATGCATGTATTAGGAATGCCAAACTATAAAGGAAAATTATTAAAAGCAAAGGCAGACATTAAACTCTCCTCTGTACTTAACAAATCCCTGATGCACAGGTGATTGCATAACAACGCCCTCTCAGTGAGACATACTGCTTCTTACATAAGAAATGCATATTATAGATAAACATGCCAGGAACACAATGACGTCCTGACTCTGTATGCTTCCAAGAAAGTGATATGCAGATAGACCTACCTTAAAAAAAAAAAAAAAAGGGGGTTTATGCTATGCAAAGTCATGATGCTACTGACAGTAGCACTAATACACTACACGTCTACTTAGATCACTCCATGTCCCACAGGATGTGTTGTACAACATGTATATTTGTCTGTGCCTGCCCTCTGCACATACATTCTCCAGAAACTGAAACTGACACAAATTAAACCACTCAAAATTAAGTTTCTTCTGTCTACTGTACTTCTTTCATCAGCTCCAGTTTGGGATGTTTTCCTCTCTTAGTAGTTAGGACACTAAGGTACTGTTTATCATCTTTCCTTGGCCATTCATCAGTTTTAAATATACATAATTAAATTCAAGATTGTGCAATTAAAGCAGTCATAAGTTGATGCTCACGTAGGACATTATTACAAAAACAGTAACTAGCAACCACAGGTCACACCCAACTTTTGTATAAACTCTGGCTTATGAAGTGAGGTCAAGAGTCCTAAGCCTTTCATCACTCCTGCTGGCGGAAGATTCAGAATGTTCTTGCACACTTCTGTATCTGTAACCTGAACTACTCACAAGTGTGAAAAAGAAGAAACGAACTTCATGGCGGGTAAGTTAAAAACAGCCTGATTGCTCCAGACATGACTCTTCCAATACAGATGAGTGACATATGTTGAGGAAACAGGATAAACTACATTTAGTTGTTCTCTTTGCAGTTTAGCCCTTTTTAAGTTAAATGTATTTATGAGTTATTCTACTAGAATTTTTTTTTTTAAATATTACAGGTCTTGAACATACTCTTTTTTTCCTCTAACAGAAAACCAGAGTAAGAAAATATTTTCCATCATACCCATTAACTACTCTAATACAGTGCTTTTGCAGCCAGCTAATCATCACTCTTGGCTGATGATTTGGGTATCAAACTGCCACATAGAAGTCCCAGGCCCTAAACCCTCTCTGATATCAAATCGATATCTGGCCTCTGGACTCTCATGTTCAGCTTCCTACAGAGTGGTTACGTTGGCCTGTGTGCTGCTTGTCAAAGTGCAGTATCAGTGTCTACGTATTGTATTGCAATTGCTTTCACTCTCACGCTGACTGGAAAGATCTCTGGTTAGAAAGATGTGTCGTATCTTATATGCACAGAATCTATCTGCAATTTAGTCTAAGGGGGTTTTTTTCTGTCATGGCTTCAGGCTTTTGTTAGAGGCAACAAGAACCCCGTGTGCATAATGATCAGCATTTTCAGCAGGGATCACCAATTCTGCAGATTTTTGTTTATGAGTATGCTCCCAATGTCTATCCATTAGAGGATAAACACCAGCAAATTTTTAGTCGTTTGTCCAATTGTATGTTGACAGGATTATTGAAAATGTGTTTTCTCTCCAACAGAGAGATACAAAAAGAAGAAAAAGAAATTGTAATATTTAAATTGGGACTGCGAAGATCAAAACAAGGGGAAATTTTAAGTACACATGCACAAAAGACAGGCTTTACTGTGCTCTTTCCCCATATATAAACCATTTTTTGCTAGAATATGTGTCACCATGGACTTCTCAAGGCAAGCCAAACTAGTAAGGCAGTAAATTCTTAGATCTAACCAATGCCAGTCACTGCCTTCTTTACCTTTTCTACTTCTCCAGGTGTCCCCTCTTGTTCTGTTGCACATATTGCCTTTGACTGTGGCATTCCACTCCGAAAGTCTTAGTGGTGCTGTTTAGGTCCTTAACATCACAGTCCCACTAGTATCAAACCCACATCTCAGTTGCTATTAAATCCTATATGTGTTACATTTTTATTTGCAGATTTGCAAAACGCTCTTAGTTATCTGCATTACTGCACAACTAAGGACACACACATTTCACTGCCCTGAAGAGCCTGGCCATTTAACTTGCCCAGTTTTCAGGATACACAGAGGTATGGATATATGTGCAGAAAACGTTGCAAGGCTAACTTCTTTTCAAACTCTGAGCCCAAGCATCCTTCAGAAATATGTTCCAATTCACTCTTAAATTAAAAGACTTGATGTTAGGAACACTATATTTTGTAGTTCCTTTCCAACCAACCATATTTAAGTCAGGAAAATATATGATGATGCAAAAAAACTTTGTTGTTTCTAGACATTTTTTCTAGACGTTTTAAATCACATGACTCAAACATCACAATCCTATCAATGGAATTTTTTTTCTCCAGGTAACATACCTGAAACAAGACCCTTCGCTTAACTGCAAATACTGACATGTTCAATACTCAGAGGCTACAGGAAAGCAGCTTGCTCCACACCTTACTGCAGACTCAGAACTACATTTGCAAATTCATGTTTCTTCCAAAAAGCTGAAAAATTAGTATAATTATGACTATATCAAGACTTCACAGAAAATAACTCTGTGCTGCCAGTGCAACAGGAAAATCAAATCTTACACTATTTTTATAGTAGAACTGTATGGATTCCCTCAGATATGAGCCACATTCCAAGTGATGCAAGGTGGTGCTAAACCAAGTCCTGTATCTTAGTTCAGTGAAGCAATGGAAACATTTTTTACAGCAAAGGGTTAACATGCTCTAGCTGTGGCACGAAATCTTCTTCAAGTGAAATTCCTTTGAAATATTATACTGGGGAAGGGCACTTCTCAAACGCATGTTCAGAGAGAGATCTGCATTCTTTCTGCTTTGTTTTTTTTTGTTGTGTTGTTGCTGTTTTAATTGATCGAGGAACAAGAAAATTTGAAAATTTGAAAATTTGTGCTTCAGTGGGCAACCTATGATGAAACAACAGAGCAACTCATAGTACTGCCTCAAGATATGCCACTCCTAATCCTACCATCTGTCCTCTGGTGGTTATCTTTCTCCAACAGAATGTGAAACAACACCCAGCTTCAAGCAATAAAATTACAAATTAAATAATATACAAGATACCTGAGAAGATAATGTGCAAGTTGGATAGTGAAGATACTAGCCCTCCATTCATTATCTGTCATACAGTGTTTCCAGGATCAGGCATGCACTTGCTCATGAGAATTTTAATACTTCTTTTCTGCGCATCAGTAAAGCATTTTGGGAACCAGAGATCCCCACAGAAAGAGTAGGAACATGGTGGTGTAGAAGAGTCTCTTCAAACTTCAGCAAAGTATTATCTAAATACAACAGGATTTTGATTCATTTCTTTTTAAAATCAAAGATAAATTCTCTAAGTGGGTGTATTTTCTGTCTCTGAAGGATGCCTGCAGAAAAGACATTTTAGCTTTTCCTCTAAGTTGTTGTTTAATTTGCAGTTCTTAATAATAACAGCAGATTTTCCTTTTTTCCTAGAGTATGCAAGTCCAGCTGTATATAAATATAAGAAAATTACTACATTAGACAAGATGTAGAAGTCTGAAGGAACAATGTTTTTAATTAACTTGCCTTGTATCTTTCTAGACCTGAAAATAGCAAATGTCAACTGGCAATCCAAATTAAATAAAGCTGCACACCACACATCTGATTACAGCAGCACAGAAGCAATCCTGCGGAGAGGACAAGCCTTCAACATCACTCTGAAATTCCAAACAACACCACAATCTGGGGATAACTTCACCTTTATTGCAAGCACAGGTAATTTCCCCATGGTACTCACCTCGCATCCATGTCACTCCAGCTCCAAAACACTAGAGCCTTAAGGCGGGTACGTGGTCCATTCCTGAAACATTCAGGATTCACTGTCCTTTTAGGCTTAGAAGCTCCCATTTTAAAGTTCAATCTATAGACAGTTAAGGCAGAAATTAATAGAACGGCAGGGGCCATCCTCATTCTGAAAACAAGCCTCTATCTCTACTCCTGAGGACCTACTTGCAATACTACAAGTTGCCTTCATTCTGTGGTCCCTGAACAGTTGGCAACCCTACCTCTCAAGCCCCCATTTATGTCCTCTCCTGATCAACATCACCTGTTTAAACTCCCCCTGAACTCCAGGTGTTCTCCATTATGAGACCACATGACCCCATTCAAAAGACTCCTATCTGCGTCTTCCTAAAAGGCTTCCCAAAAAAATTCTCCAGCCAGCTACAGACACGTATCTAAATGTGTGGCCCATGCTGCCTCCATAGTTTTGAACTGTCAGGTTTTCAGGACAGGCTTGCCTCCCCTCTGTCTAGCACAATTATGGGTGTACTCACCTTTCCTGGGTCACACACATAACACAGAGGGCTGTGTACTGCAATTCTATGGGTTGGAGCGCAGCTAGTTTATGCTGAGTGAGCATTTCACATGAGAAGCCACAATCTTTCGATGTAATCATTAAAAATAACATGACATTGAGAATAGCATTGACCCTGAGTTTGTCACCCACAGCTGTAATTCAGAATTGCTGTCCCTGTTCCCTCTGCCAGGACCATCTCCAGCAGAATCACAGCAGACCAAGGCCGTATTTAACCTTTCCGAGGAGAGTGCCAGTGGCTGGGGGGCAACCCAAGAGCCCAGTGAGCCTGGCTGCATGAACTTCACAATATTCAGCCCAGCCAACGCTGTTGTTGGACGATACAAGCTCAAACTCCAGGTTGTTTCTGGGAACAAGGTCTCTTCAACACTCCTGGGCCAGTTTGTGCTACTCTTCAATCCCTGGTGTCCAGGTATGTTTTGATGTATTGTGCCCTTTGAATAACTCATTGTTTCAGTCAGGAAATCTAGGTTTCACAGTAAGGCATGTACCTGATACAGTTACAGGAAGATTTTTTTTTTGCTCAACATCAAGGATCAAGTTTTTGTCCTTTCTTCAGTGCTGCAATGCAATGAAGATCCAGCCTCTTGCTTGTATAGTAAGAAATACAGGCAGGAGAGGTTCCAAATATTTATTCTATATTTTTTTCCCCTCTGATACTTGTGCTCAGTTGTAAACTAAGCGATATCTACCAGTAAAACACATACTGAGAATAGTTAAGGGACAGGAATAGACAATTCCCCTCAAAGAGACCTCATGCTTATTTTATTCATTCTGTAAATGATTATAGACGTATAGCAAGGAGTCCTAAGACTGAATACACAGACAGTCTGACCTGTTCCCTAGAAGTCCCCTTGAAATGACATTTTCAGTTGCAGCAAAACAACCTTCCTTTCAGCCAGCATCTCATTCTGCTTCTAGATGATGATGTCTACATGGCTAATGAAAACGAGCGATGGGAGTATGTCCTGAACGACAGTGGAATCATATTTCAGGGACTGGAAAAATATATTCAAGAAGAAGCTTGGAACTATGGACAGGTAAAGAGCATCACCTATTCTAGAACTTTGAAAATAAGATCGGTGGGTAAATAGGCTCTTGAGGAGCCAGAATTATTATCTCATAGTATAAGAGTTCAGTATTCCTCTCTCATTTATGATTTCCTTTGCAGATATATGTCTCACTTATCAATACATTACAGCAACATTAGGATGGTTTCTCCTGTCTGGCATGTGCTAACACAGAAATGAAAGAAACAAAGCACAATTTTAGTTTTCTTTTGTCTGTTACACAAACTGGCAAAATTCTACTTGTTTCTTGACAGGGCAAATGAAGCCACTCCAGTATTAACCTCTAGGTATTGCAAGGCTAGTACATCTAAATATTTACAGGCTCAGTAACCGGGCAGAAAACACTAAAAGGATATCCCAATCTATTCAACTGAAACAGCTCAAGTTGGAATTACTGAAAATCAGTTTGGCTTTCTAAGCATAACTGCTACAACTACAGTCCATTTGTAGTCACACAGCTATCCCACAACTTGTTGGGCCAGTCCTGAAAACTTCGTGCCTTACAACTACACCAGCAGTTGCACAGACAGCATTTCTCTTAATCCTGCTGGTCACTGTGGCTACTTTTACAATAATAAATGAAGCAAAGCCGGATCTGCTTTCTGCCTCTGAGGTCAAGTGGCATCCTTGCCCGACCACATCCATACAGCATCGTACTTTGACATTCTCTAGATACAGTGCCTCTGTGACCCTAACCTGCAACAATTATTTTTGTGGGTTTCTTTTAGTTCAGATATAAGGTGAAGGTTTCATAACAGAAGGAGCCTGTAGGGGCATGACAGGATGTGGGAGTGTGTGAAGCCCCCTGAACCAGACCTGGAGTGGTCTTGTCCATTCCACCAAGACACATAATGTATTCATGAATGCTAGTAGCCACGGCCGCAAACCATGCTCATAAACACATTGTCTTTAAAATACTATGGAAAATCAGCAGATTAATATTTATGTTTTCCTCTTGGCCCTATTTTCTTTAACAGTACAGGAAATGCCTGTATTACCAACATCATCCTATTGTACTAGGAGATGGAAAACAGGTGGGGAGTTTAGGGTTAGGGTTCATTTACGAAATGAGCCTTTAAAATATTGCTTGTTTTGATTTCAGTTTGAAGAGGATATCCTTGATATCTCTCTGGCTATACTGGATCGAAGCTTGAACCACCGCGAAGATCCAGCTACTGATGTAGCCAACCGAAACAACCCCATCTATGTGAGCCGGGTTGTCAGTGCTATGGTAAAGTGATAATTACTTACAGCCCATACAATGCACCTGCTAACAAAACCCCCAATACTTCATTGTGAATGCCTGAATGTTTTATGTGAGTAGCCAACTTTTCTGCAAAAAAAATAGCTACAGAAGAGGCACAATGGAGATTTATTCTCAAGGAAAAATACCACAAAAGTTTAGTTTACTTTCTTCCCAAAAGTTTGCTCATAACTGAAGAAATGTTTCCAACAGCTTTGGGGTAACATTGAATCTCAGATGTATTTTCCTCACATAATTTCACTCTATTAGAACTTTTCACTAATTTGGAAAGCCTGTGTCCATTCTGAAATAATTTGCTAAGTTTTTCAAACACTAAGAGAAGCACGAAATATTTTGGAAACCCTCTGTTGATATGGCTGCATTTAATGTCCGTATTTAGTATTAAGGGGAATTAGTTCAGTGAGGCCTGGATGCATTTCCTTCAACAAATATTTACATCTTCTCCACACACTCCTATCCTCATAAATACATAAATGCAACTAGGCAACTGAAAAGTTTTCTGTTTTATAAATAATACATGTCTTAACACATTCCCTATCTGAGATTCCTCCTTTATAGCTGTGATCCTTTTCACTCTTTTAAACAGCACTCACTTTACAGAATTTCAGCTTCAAGATGAAGTAAACTACTTAGATGTACAGAATAACCAGAAGTACACACACTTAAGGAAAAAAATAATCATACAAGCACTTCTAACAAGTTTGAGCAAGCTCTATGCACTATGTGCACAATGCACATTCAGAGAAAATATGTACTTGTTAAGAATTCCATATGAATCACCTGAGAATGTGAACCTACACTGAATACATAGCGTAACAGTACAGAGATAAGGAAGGAGGTGGAATTAATCAATGAAACAGAGAAAATTTAAATAGGCTGGCAGTCAGTACATTTGGGAACATTTGTACTGAAAAGCAAGGCAACTTTGAATCATCAGACTCTACAATCCGACCTTTAGTCTAGAGAACAGAAGCCTGAGGGGGAATCTTGTCAATGCATATAAATATTTAAAGGATGAGTGTCAGGAGGATGGGGCCAGTATTTTTTCAGTGGTGCCCAGTGACAGGACAAGAGATAGTGGGCACAAACTTGAACATAGGAAGTTTCATCTAAACATGATGGGGAATTTCTTTACTCTGAGAGTGACAGAGCACTGGCACAGGCTGCCCAGAGAGGTGGTGGTGTCTCCATCTCTGGAGACATTCAAAATCCGCTGGACACCACCCCATGCAACCTGCTTTAGGCGAACATGCTCTGGCAGAGGGGTTGGACTGGATGATCTCCAGAGGTCCCTTCCAGCCCCTAATATTCTGTGATTCTATGACCTGGGTTTGACCTAATTGTCACCCTTGAGCAGACAAATTCTAAGATTCAAATACTCTGTCCCACCACTCAGCCAATGAGAACAGTGGGTCATTTTTGCCTGTTTCCCTCTCTCCCTTTTTCTGTAAATATTTTAATTCTCTTATGAGAAGGACTCTTTCAGGTGAATAGCAATGATGAAAAAGGAGTAGTGGAAGGGAAATGGCATGGCAAGTACCGCTCAGGAACCAACCCCCTGCAGTGGAGTGGAAGTGTGACCATCCTTCGGAAGTGGTACAGAGGAAGATACAAACCTGTCCGGTATGGCCAGTGCTGGGTCTTTGCAGGAGTAATGTGCACAGGTACACAGGAAGGGTTGAAGAAAGCTATCAGAAAAGAAGCTTACTAGAATTTCTGGAGTTTTAACCTTGTGGTGTTATTGTTGAAGTTGTTTCAGCTTTGACAGACAGCGAAAAACCTATGTTGTCCATGCATGAAGGGTTATTTTCTTCTATTTTAAAGAGCCATAGGTTATATACTGCACCCTAGTTTTGTAAGTCATCAAAAAAATTCAAAGTGGTTTGCAAGGCTGGCCTGGAGAAAAGAGTATTGTTTCCTGTTTCAAAGCTAGGAATCAAAGAAAACTAGTGCTCTTTTAAGTCTCTCTCTTCAAGATGCCAGTCTTCTACTGTTGTGTCTTCACTTAATGGTGACACAAAACCAAATCACAATTCTGAGGACCTCTAAAGGCAGCTGCAAGTTGCAAAAAGTATTTATCTTAGCAGTTTCCATTCAGAGCTGCTCTGAGAGACAAGAGTCACTTTAGGGAAAATACAGAGGAAAAGTAATGCAATTGAGAAATACATCTCAGAGAGGAAGAGGAAAAAGAAGCAGGTTACAGAGAAACAAACAAGGAGAAAATAGGGAGAAGAACAGGATGAAAAATGAAAGATTAAAATAAATGTGTGAATATCACTCTTCTTAAAATGAACATGGCAGCTAAGAATGTCGTGTGTGTAGAACCGTCTTCTACGCAATTGTGCCCGATGACTGTGACTTGCATCATATCTGAGAGGGAAGTTTCCCTGCTGAAAACATATACACTAGATTGCTTTGCAAAGAAAAACAGAAAAATATTTTCTCAATGTCTGTAAAACAGGTTTACAGCACTGTCATGGTATTCTATATTGCAGTTCTGAGATCCTTGGGAATACCTACTCGTGTTATTACAAACTTCAACTCTGCCCATGACACGAATATAAATCTGAGTATTGATAAGTACCTTGACAGTTCCGGAAAGACTCTGGACTTGACTGAAGATAGTGTGTGGTAAATACATCTTTTTTCTTAACATTTCTTCCATTATATACTCTTCTAATTAAAAGATGTAGAATCATGCTCCTGAAAAAACATCCCAACCTCATGTCCCCAGTGATATATAGCCCCATTCCAAAGAGTCAGCAGAGCAGTGTGTTCAAAAATGCACTATGCAGTCAGTGTCATCATCCCCAAGAATTAACAGACGAGATACTTTGTACCATTGCTATTCAACATATAATTTGAAAATATAACAGCTAATTTTGTCTCTGATGTATGTTTATTTTTTTCCCAAAAAAGCTGAAGAATGGTCATCATCCCCAAGAATTAACAGACGAGATACTTTGTACCATTGCTATTCAACATATAATTTGAAAATATAACAGCTAATTTTGTCTCTGATGTATGTTTTTTTTTCCCAAAAAAGTTGAAGAATGATTAACCTCTTGCCCAAAAATTATAGCAGCTTGTTCCTTTTTTCCAAGAGCAGAACACTTTCAGAAGCCCCTAAGTTTTAGATCCAGCTTCTGTACTACACACTGTTTACTGTCTCAGTCTTTCATGATTACCATTTTATACTCCTTGCACAATACTGAGAGGTTACTAAAGTAAAGGCAGTATGTTTAATGCAGCTGAGAAAAAGATCCATCCCACTCCTAAGTAAGAACAGGCTATTTCTTTCGCCTAAAAGAAGCTGTTAAAAATTAAGGTTTGGACAAACAAGTGCACAGAAACTATCACACTGCACGTGTGTTGTACTGCACATATCAGCAGTTCAGCCACCAAGCACTCTGTGTCCTGTGGACTGAATGGGACAAGGGTGAGACGAAGTAGAAAGCAACTGTGAATTAAATACCAACAGACAGCAGTGTGCGCAGGAGGTCTTTCACTGTACAGTATGTTGTTCTGGAACATCCAAAATTGAATACTTGACCCTGCAATGAATTATTTACCTTTGAACACTATTTTTTTTTTTATAACATCCCAACATGTCTCAGAGATCTGAACACAAAAAGCTGGCAAAGAAGGTGAAAGAGGTACTCCAGAAAGGAGTAAGCAGTTGGTGTATCCACAGAGGATTTTTCATTCACTCAACCATGGTTATTTCTTGTATTGCAACAGAAATGTATGAAATCTTCCAATATAAAAATAATCATACAAATCAGGGATTCCCTATTCTACCTCCCTTACAGGAATTTCCATGTCTGGAACGAAAGCTGGTTCACTAGAAGAGATCTTGGTTCTTTTTATGATGGATGGCAGGTTCTGGATGCAACACCCCAGGAAAAAAGCAAAGGTAACACGGCTGTAAATGCAAAAAGCTGTAGATACTGTTACTCCTAAAGACTATTAGTGAAATTTCAGGAGAACTCTGTTCTAGCTGCTTCCTGTAGATGTAGCGTTAATATAGAAGCACAAGAAAAGCAATACCCACATCAGTCTCCAGTAGGTTGCTTTTCTGTCAGCCTCTGGTTGCCTACCAGCACGCAAATTCTTACTTTGTTTGCTCCTCTGCCTCCACAAAAGCCAGCACATCTTAGGTTCACATATCTCACCCTTGCTTGTCTTAGCTTCCAACATTACACAGATTCATAAAATAACATAGAATAGCCAAGGTTGGAAGGGACCTTCATGGTTTGTTTACTCCAACTCTCTGCTCAGCACAGGGTCAATTAGAACAAGTTTCTCAGGACCAGGGCCTGTTGGGTTTTGAGTATTTCACAAGATGAAGACTCCACAAGCTCTCTGGGCAAACCGTTGCAGTTTGACGACCCTCATAGAAAAAGGTTTCTCGTATGTTTAAATGGAATTTTCTGTGTTTCACTTTGTGCTCACTGCCATTTGTCCTTTCACTGGATATCACTGAGGAGAGTCTGATTCTGTTCCCTATACACCCTCCCATCAGGTATTTATACACATTGGTAAGATGCCCCTGAGCCTTCCCTTCTCCATATTGAACAGCCCTGATTTTCATCCCTTAATTATTTTTGTGGCCCTTTGCAGGACTTGCTCCTGTATGTCCTTATCTTTCTTGTACAAGAAAGCCCCAAACAGGACACAGCCCTCCAGATGTCTTCTCACCAGTGCTAAGTAGAAGGAAAGGATCATGTCCCTTGACCTGCTGGCAATGGTCTTCCTGATGCAGTCCTGGATGTTGTTGGCCTTCCTTGCTGCAAGGGCACATTGTTGGTATTAGACACATTAGCTAGTTTGCATTGGACAGATTTAGCAGCAAAACAAATTAAAACCCATCTTGCTAAAAGTAAGATGCTAAGCAAAGATTTTAGAGCTTACAGGGTTGAACCAAAGAGTTCACAACAGAAAATAAAATATGCCCCATGACTCTACCCTATGTGTGTCCCCAAAGGACACTCTGGGATGGATAGGAAGATATTTTATATGATGTCTCCATGGCATGGAACATCATGGCATAAATGTACAAAGCTACTTGAAAGAAGCCCCAAACTGTGCTCTAGTTTGGAAACCAAGTGACACAGAATGGCTTTTGTTCACAGTACTGAACTCCTCCTCCCAGACCAAAATAATAGAACAACATGCTTGGAACAATCCTGGGTATATCCCATTCGCTGAATTCTTCACAGCCACTGTCTGAAAGATCATTTCTTGACAAGAGCTAAAAAAACCCACCACACTAAGAAGCCTGCTAGCAAATAAACAGCATGGATGAGCAACAGCCAGCACTTGGGTTTACATTTTGGCTCTGGTTTTATTTACTAGTACAGACACAATTTCATTGATTTAGTTTGATGACCTCCATCAAAAGATTAATTTATGTGGCCATTTAAAACTCACCAAACTCCAGATAAACTCCTCATTCCCCACTCCTAAGTTTACCAAATTTAGCTTCCTCATTCTCAGTATGCACAAAACACTGATGACTCACATCTGACTGTACTTCTGACCTGGCTCCCATTGCCTCCTTTCACTATAGAGCTTAGTGTACAGACTTGCAAGCTCTGGAGGGTTAGAACATTTCACATAGCACACCCTGTAAGGAGTGTTAGCTGTCCCTACACCTTATTAGCCTTGCAACCTCCTCTGTGCTCCTACCTTTTGGGGAGAAAATGCATGTGGAATCTCCAGACATGCTGTTACCATAATGCACAGACATAGAAGCAATGCACTTTTCCCGAACATGTCTTTGCAGTGACTATCCCTCCCTCTTGCTATCAGCATAAGGATTTGTGTTCTTTCGCAACAGACAGTCATTTAACTTTTCCCTCTCTCTAATACAGGCATCTATCAGTGTGGGCCTGCCTCCACCAGAGCTATTAAGGAAGGGGATGTGAACCTGGATTATGACAGCTCATTTGTGTTTGCAGCAGTGAATGCTGACTGTGTTACTTGGATTCGCTATAGTAACAAAAGAAAAAAGAGAATTTATTCTGATACTAGGAAGATTGGAAAATTTATCAGTACCAAAGCAGTGGGCACCAATTCCCGTGTGGATGTCACTGCTAATTACAAGTATCCAGAAGGTAAATTCTTTATTACGCTTGTTTTGCACTGACGGTCAGAAGCTAAAAGAATTTAGGCCTTCATCAGATCAAGCACTGACTTAATTTCTCTACTTCTTCTGCAGCAACGTAATTGTGAATTTTCAAAGTCTTAGGGCTCATTGTCAGCTGACAGCGATTCAATATGGTCTTTGTGGCCCTTGATGAAATACTAATGCATTCAATACAAAGTCAAAGCTACCTCTGTAAAACATTCTGTCTCAGCTGTTCTGATCAGGTGGTGAGAACATTTCTGTTATGACATGCAGCAATAGATATTCTGGAGAGTTGTTGAGGAAGAGTTTCTGCAAAAGAATCTTTTCAGTCTTAGTTTTACAGAGGATGGCAATTGCCCCAGGTTATGCATAACTGAGCACTCCCATGAGTCGTCCTACTGCTCACAGCTTCTAAGAAATGCCTATGAACAGCTAGCTAGAGCTGACAGGCAGGTTTTAGTTTTCAGTCTTCATGGCCCCGTATATTCATTTGCTTTTTGTGTCATAATTAGCATTGAGGTTAGACCTCACTTCTTGTGTATCTTTGTTCTCCTCAGCTTTCCTAAAATGTATTTACTGAGAGCAATCAAGACTCCACTGCACTATATTCAGCATGCACAAGATCTCTGACCATGTTATCTTTCAAAGCAGGATCCTTGAAAGAAAGGCGGGTGTACAGAAAAGCACTGAAGCTGCTTGGTGTGAGAAGCACTGGAAAGAGAACCAAAAAAAGACGCTCTGCAGCAGCACAGAGACAAAATACGACACAGCCCACACGAAAACCCAGTATCTCAGGGAAGCTGCACCTTGATGCATCTCCTGTAATTGGCCAAGATATTCTCCTTACCTTGGCACTCAAGAACCTGATCTCAGATTTCAAGACCATAAAGGTTAAACTGAGAGCTTCAGCCATTCTCTACACAAGAAGACCAAAGGCAGAGATTTTGCAGTTATCTAGGTCTATTAAACTTGGATCTGAAGAAGGTAATTTTAATTTTATTACAGCTTAGGACAAGGCATAGTTTTGGCTTGTGACCAGATCACATAGAAATAATGAATGGCTCATCAAGTGCATGACCTGCAAATGGTTGGAGGTTAAAGCTATTCAGGGGAAGAGATATTTATATTTCCCTGTCTTACGCATTTGCTTTTGGGCACTGTCAGAAAGGACACTGATCTGAGCGACCATTTGTCTGACCCAGCACAGCTACTATTAATTCTATATTATGACCTTTTTCGCTAAGACAGAATAGCTAAGAGACATACAGGAGAGATGAATCAGCTACCAGCTCCCCATATGCAAAGTACAGAGACAGATTAAGGAGGGAGGAAACATAAGCCTGACTTTTGCAGCAGTAGGACAGTGACTACAGACTGCAGTAAGAGCTACACTACCTGCAGACAGTGGCCTTTGCCCTGCTTTTATAGGGACAGGGCTGGAAAATGAGATGTGTAGCACACATGAATATATCTACCATCTCAAGCTAAGACACAACCCATTATAACTCCTGAGAATCATAGAACAGAATCACAGAATCATTAAGGTTGGAAAAGACCTCTAAGATCATCAAGTACAACCATCAACACAACACAACCATGACCACTAAACCATGTCTCTAAGTTCCACGTCTACACATTTTTTGAAAACCTCCAGGGCTGGTGACTACCACTTCCCTGGGCAGCCTGTTCCATTACTTCATCACTCCTTCAGTAAAGAAATTTCTCCTAATATCCAATCTTAACCTCCTCTAGTGCAACTTGAGCCCATTTCCTCTTGTCCAATAGGACTTGGCAAGAGACCAACACCCACCTCTCTACAAGCTCCTGTCCAAACAACTTCAGTTCCCTCAGCCTTCCACCATTCCAGCAGAAGAACTTTTTTTCTCAATGTACTGAGATCCATTGCCTTCCTCACTGGCACAGAACCTCTGGCTGTGCATCCCCTTTAAGGCAGAGGCTGAACAGCTGCATCAGCAAAGGCATTTCAACCAACCCACCTTTACACTTCTGCCTTCTTTGCAAGGAAGGAGCAGAACTGTCCAGCTACCAAACTGTACCTGACCATTTAGTGTTTGATGTGAATTTAAGTAGAAGTCACCTATGAGCATCATTCCTGTCTACTGGCCACCAACATCCACAAACAGACAGCCGCAGGGTGTCTTTGCTCCTTAAAATACAGGTAGCTGGTACTTAGACACACAAAAAAAGAAGAGGGTGAAATTCTGTTTCTATTTCCATTCCAGTGAAAGATATTTCATTCAAGATCTCCTATTCCCTGTATAAAAACTTTCTCACGGATGACAGGAAGATCCTAGTGACTGCTGTGTGTGAAACCAAACAGGGAGCCTCACTTCTAGTGGAGAAGGATATTGTACTTCAGGATCCTTTTCTCACCATCAAGGTAAAAGCTAGTCCCTTTTGTGTCACTAGAGACATGCTGAGAAGAAGCAACTCGAATCCTTACTCCACCTACTCCTCATGGGAAGGAGTGTGGGAAGTTAAATCATGCCTAAGGATGATTTGAGCATGTTGCTCTAGTAATAGGCTGTGTGACACAGGTGAAATGAAACACATTAAGAAAAAGCAAACCTTTCCAAGGCATAGTTTTGCTACAGTATTCTTGCCACTGCTTGCTGACATGGCACTGATAAAGGTCTCAGTGCTACAAGGGTTAAACGGCAAAATTATCTCCAGAGAGACGGACAGGCAGGCAGAAACAGACAGATCTAGCCGATATCTAGACCTTCACTTCTGCTGAGGAAATTTGATAATTTTCTTCCAGTTTATTTAGGAAGCCTGGTTTTTACCAAAGACATCTTCACTGAGTAGCTGATAATGCCTGGGGCTCTGGGGCTCATTATTACTAATACTCGAGAAAGTTCTTTCACCCTGTCAGGAAAAGCATCAATTTTCACCTTTTGTAACATCTTTCCAAACAATTAGTAATTAAAACTGTAGGTGCTTCCCCCCCGCACTTAAGACTGACTTCGGACAAATGTTGTAGAATGGGTAAAAATCCATTCTTAGTTTACAGGAAACACCAGGCGCTATGTCAGCCCGGGGACAGTCCTGGTTTGCATAGCCCATTATACACACATAAACCAGTTTAACTTGGTTTTGAATGTTCCGCACATTCACGTGCTGTATCAGACAAGGGATCAAATGCTATCTGCTTACTGCACTGTGAACAACAGAGAGGGAGTGTGATAACCTGTAGAATCTTTCAGAGCCTCCAGACTAGATAAGCTATCCCAAACCACTCTGTCAGCAGCATACACAAAAAAACCAAGGTTCCACGGAAGAAAAAGAAGTCTGGATTTTTGTAGGTCTGGTGACTTCTGAATATCAAGTTCTATACTGAGACTTTGTAAAAAGCTTTCTGCCCTGCATCATGCAATTAAGAGGGCCAGATTATAGAGGGCAGGCATCTGAATTAAATCAATTCAGTGACTAAGTTTCAAGAAGGCTTTACGTTTTTGTTGAATGAAACTTCTGTATAAACATAGAGTTAATAACAGAGAAATCCAGTTGGGGTGCTGACCCTCTCCATTATGTTAACTAATATTACATTCCCTACTAAGACAGCCAGATGCAACAGTTCTACTTTACCTCGGTCAGAATAAGGTAATGAATATGGTTATCCACTAATTGACATTCTAATTTTTTTGCTGTTGTTCTGAAATGCCACAATTCACTTCTGTCCTATACTTCCGATGTTTTCTAATCCTAAACCTTTCATTTAGCCTAACTAAAACTGATCTGATTTAAGATGCCTACAGTAGTTAGCCCTATATGCCAAGTTAATAGTTTTATTCTCATTCTGTTCTTGCTCTAGTAAGTCTCATATACTGTGTCATACTTAGCACCGTACACTGACCTAGTAAAAAAAATAGGATTAAATGGTAGATTCTACAGTAGTTTGCTCATTCTCAGACACACTGGATGGCTGATTCAAGCCTGAACTCTGATGCCCAAAAATAGGTACATGTAATAATTCCTGGCTCCCTCCTGTCCAAGAGATCCTAAGAGGGTAAGTGATTTGCAATGGGAATGAAAGAGAAAACCACGAGAAAGAAGTGAGACTAATGCAGTGGCTGAGCAGGATGTTTTCTCTCTGTAGGTCCTTGGTCCAACAGTGGTAAACCAGGCTGTAGATGTGCAGGTCACATTTACCAACCCACTCTCTGAAGTGCTGACCGACTGTATACTGAGAGCAGAAGGTAGTGGCCTGCTCAAAGAGCAACTCAGAATCAAGTACGTAAATGCTATCTGAATAATAACTCATTCACTTCGGGTGGGAAATCTCTTATAAAAGTGATGGTTTTTAAAAAGATTCTGTCAATCTCATTACTTTTGTTTGCACCAACCGTGGACAAAATACCATCATGTCAGTACTCTCCATATACTAGTTATTCGCTAAGCTTTGAATTACAGAATGCTTAGGGAGTAGAGAGATGGCTTGCTTTTAATGACAGTGTGTAACTCAGTGTTGTAGTTAGTGACTGAATTATATAAAGGGAAAAATTATAAATTTTTCTGGTTTGCAAAAGAAAAAACAATCAATCCTTGAAAGATAAGAGAGAAAGTGATGATATCTTTCATAGAATCACAGAATCATAGAATAGTTTCAGCTGGAAGAGACCTTGAAGATCATGGAGCCCAGCCTTTGTCCCAGCCCTATCAACCAGCTAAACAATTGCCCCCAGTGCAACACCTCCAGGGACGGTGACTCAACCACCTCCCTGGGCAGCCTGTTCCAATGGCTGACAACCCTTTCAGGAAAGAAATTCTTCCTCATATCTAAGCTGAACCTACCCTGGCGCAATTTTGATCCATTTCCCCTCGTCCTATCACTCTCCACTAGGGAGAACAGACCAACCCCCGTCTCTCTTACTTCAAATATTAAATTACCAAAGAGCCAAGATATATACTGTAATGAAATGTCTTAAAAACTGGTATCAGCAAAAAATTTTTCTCCTACCTTCTCCACGGTTCTTATTGTAAACATATTTTTTTAAGTCTCCAAAATATTTATGCTAGGGAAGTTAGCACCAAGAAACTGCGAGAGGAAAACAAAAAGATAGCAAAAGACAGAAAAAGGTGTGAATCACTAAGGCTTCACTGACGCTGAATACAGAATTCAGGTCTAGATCCTGACCTTGAACCTTAACTTGTCTTACCAGCATTGCTGTTGCTCAGCTTCAGTACCTCCTTAGAGCAGAGGCCCTTTTCCCCCCCTCCCTCTGTTTCCTGATGCTATTAGTCTCCTTGAGTTGGGCAGCCAAGAGTCATTTCTAACCACAGACATAAAATCAACAGGTAATTACACTTAGCACTCTAAAATGCAGCATGAGCATATCTAGAGTACTATAAACATTGCCAGCATTGAGGGTAATACACACAGCTGGATTTGAGCTCTTCTAGAGATAACCTTTCTGATGATCCTCGGGTGCTCAATACATTTCCTCCCCAAGATACAACACCTAACTGTCTTCCACAGGTTGAGAACTGCAACTATTCCACATCCATTACAGTTTGAAAGGTTCCTCAAGGATAGTGTTGTGAGGGCTGTGAACATGGGAGGTTATGGCCACCTGTGCTAGGAGCATACAAACACAGCAGACACTTATTCTGACTCTTCCCTTCCATAATGGTTTAGATTTGGGGACTCTGAAAAATACACAGCAAGAGTTTTTCAGCTGCTTGAACTTACAAATGTATTCTCCCTTTCAGTGTGGCAAGAATGGCCCCCATGGAGAGCTCAACAGTCCAATTTGAAATCATTCCCTACAAGAGTGGCACCAGGCAGCTTCAGGTGGACTTGGTTTGCACACGTTTTTCAGACATTAAGGGATTTGTGATGCTTGATGTGGCTCCTGCTCAGTGACACAACCCGTACATCAGTTCAGTTTTGTCTCTGACTATGAGACTGGTGAAGTGCTCATACACTGTTATGACTTGTAACACAGAAATGCAGACTACTCAGCCAAAGTAAAGTAATATGAACAGAAATTAATAAAAACGTACTAAACGCTACAAAGACAGTGTAATCTTTTGCATTCCCTAACCTGTTCTATGGACCTTCATAAATAGAATTACTAGTGGAAATCATTACATAATTTAACTTGAGGGAGAGGATCGAGTCTGACGGTTTTCAGCATTAGAGCCTGTAGCAGTTAGATTTCCAAGAAACACCATTTAAAATCACTGTTTTCAGAAGCTTCATTGACTATAATTTTACTATATTCACTAAATATGAGTTTTATTCTCTGTAATAAACTTGACATTCTCATTATTTAACCCAATTTACATTTTAACAACAACTTCCATGAAATTTCTTGTTGAATAACACTTTGCTCAGGTATGACAAACTCAGAGAGGCCGGAATACACAGAAATTCTCATGGAAGTCACAAAATATTTTGAGGAAATAGAAATATCACAGCAAGTGTACTCAGAAGGAGTGCAGGTGCACAAATAAAATCTCCTCTCTTCCAGAAGCATCATGTTTTATCCAAGCCTTAAGCCTCCATTTTCTAAAATCTCCATCTTCTATCAATCTCATAGTTTTATCTAAGACAATATAATCTTTAAAGATACATTATTCATGTAGGTGCACAGATACACACACACACCATTGTCTTAAAGGATGTGGTATGAAAAGGTCTTTGTCCTCATTTACTCTTTTTAATGAGCACTAAAAAGAAAATATAAAGAACTTTTATTTTTACAGGTGGTTATCTTTAGGACATGAGAACTGTTAAGAATTCATACGAAAAGAGAACATAACTCAAGAAATCATCCTGTTTTAATCGAAACAAAATGCAGACTACAACTGGCCCTATGAAGTGGTGGAGCCACAAGCGCCAGAATAGTTACTAACAACTCAGGAGAAAAAAATTAAAAAGAGTTTACAGGGGAAAAGCTGGTTCCTGTTCACAGAGTAGCTCCTGTTCACAAAGTAGCTCCAGAAACAGCTTCAGACAAAGCCAAAACTGATATGTATACTGTTCTGTTTATATAAATCAATCACATAAATAACTTTTCTAACTTAAACACAGCTAAAACCTGTCTGGACTTAGATGTCCAGAGGCTGACTGCTATGTTTCACTGCATTTTAAATACAAATGACAGACAAGACAAAGGTTCCAATTTGGAAGATTTATTGCAGGAAAAACTGACTGAGCTATCATACTGGTCCACAGCAAGGGACCCCAAACTGTATCCTCTTCACAAGGAACTGCAGCAAGTGCCTTGGAGTATTTACAAAGGCTTTGATACGCACAAACACGAGCAATCTCCCAAAGAGAAGATGAAGGTGTGCAGGGACCCACTTTACAACTGCCATCTTACCCTCTACTCATCTGAATCTATTCTAGGACTAATAGGCAGTAGTGGTGATCAGAAGTCATCACCAACACAGGCAATCAATCAGTGCATTGATCCGAATTATCTTGGCATCGTGCATTTTAATAAAACTGGAGTGGGGGCTGGGGTAAAGGTTGGGTGTTTTTACTTTGCTCCAGGTCAGAAACTTCTCACTGTTCTACCAGGAAAATTAGCCAAACTTGTGTATGAGACCACCTGAGGAAAAACAGCCTATGACATGTATTCTTGTTTTGTACTGGTACTGTCTTCAAGGTTGTTACTTGCCCACATCTGCTGACACATACTTTGCCCAGACCTTTTTCTGCATCTTATAAAAACTTTTTATTTACTCTCCTAAGTTATGTCAGAGGAAGTTTCACCCACTTCCTTTCATGCCGGTACCATAAAACAAAAAGGGAAAAAAGACTGATTTTTCTATTTGCAAAGGCAGATGCTTCACAAGTTCCAGAACTGCTCAGCAAGCACAGGATGGGGAAAAAAAGGCTCAGGACAATATAATCAGAAGGATGTATGAAAATTCACAATTAACAGTCATCCATCCACAAAGCTGATTAAAGTAGATCTTCATTCTCCATGAGGAAGGCATTATGTCACCCATATCTAAAATCCAGGACTGTGTCCATTTATTCCTTGTAGAGGTAACAAGCCAAAACAGTGAAGATCTGAATGTTCCTAAGAGACAATGTGACTGTTTCCTCCTGACAACACTTAGTATTGTCCAGCAATGCAGTCCCAACCTCTCACGGAAATAATGTCTCATGGACACAAACTGACTCTGTGACACAGACCACCTGAGGTTTCATTTAAATTTCTTTGATTTAAAGCCCACAAAATCTTCAAAACATGTAAACCCTTGTTTTATTAGATCAATTACAGTATTTTTGCCACCCATACATATACTTAGAAGGGATGTGGAAGTTTGGCAAAACTAGTCAGCCCAGAGAGACTGGAATGCAGATTGAAAAAGCGACATACACTCACACACATACAGACACACAGGAATTCAGATTTCTCTAGGCAAAGGAGAGGGAAATAGGTAGCTTTGAACCTATCAATTAAGTCTTGCAGGATCTTAGAAAATCAGGGTATACAATCCTCCAGCAGCCTCTGAAAATGTCTTGAGGCAGTGATGGTATTTCACAAGATTTCATTAAATCTTCAGACTGTAATTACATTTAACATACGCCACAGCCAGGCCATTCAAATTCCTTCACTATTTCTTCTTAAATACAATCCAGGAAATTATTTCAGACACTGTTTGCCACACGAGCTTGGAATGACCTCATTGTAATTAACTGTTTGTAAAGGAAGCCGGCTGTTCAAAGGAAAATCAGCCCTAAAGCTTATGCCAAGTTCCAAGCTTTGCAACACTTGGGGTTGCTGGTTTTTCAGGGTGTCAGCATTATTAACTGCCTTCAGCAACCACACCTAGTTCACTTCCAGTGTTAAAATGCATATCTGGCCAGTGCTATGTAGAAGAAATACACATTCTTCCTGCATTAGACGTAAGACAACTGTTCAATTAAACTAATGATCATTACAGAGAAAAATGTGTAAGTGCTCAAGGAAGGATTTAAATGGCTTTTGCCAAACCTACAATCTTTATGCAGCCCTTAGTCAGAAGTCAATTGGGGTTGGTGGAGTGAAACATGGCCAATTACCAGTATTTAATATACAGTTTAAATCTGAGCATACCCAAGGGGATGACCCAGCCCTCATTCCATTCTGATCCCTCAAAACAATCAAGTGAGCACTAGCTGATATGACACATTCATACTAGGAATTGTTCTTGAAAGACATTAAAATCAGTCTCCGAGATGATGAATGTTTCTCCCTGATCCAAGTTTCTAGGGCCTCGATTCAAGCAGTCAGCGAAGTCACTGCTCTTTCACAGAACACAAAACAAAACAAAAAATAAACAGAAATAGCCAGTGTCGGTAGTTTCAAACCACTTGATTCTGTTGCCAAAGCTGCACTGCTTTATCACTTGGCACCTACCACTGTTGTGTACTGAGTGTGGAGCGTATTGATCCCTATAAAAGACAAAACAAAAGGTACAGTATAAGCATTTCTTGTTGCTCTAAACAAGCAAGAAATTCCTCAGAAAAGGAAAATTCACATCTCAGTCATGGATGTGTCATGCCAGAGTTGGAAATGTAGACAAATAAAAGCGAAACTTAGATGTATGTAATTTTCATCAGTATTTTCAGAAAGGGACAGTTTTTAAAGATGCTCACGTAACATTTTAAGCTTCTATTTTTACAGGTAATAAAGATGATGATTTGCATGGATTTACGTTTGAACCTGTAAACCAACAAGAATCCCCAAGCATTATACACTATAAAGATAATAACACAGTAATATCCAGGCAGGACAGATACTTTCAAGGATCCTATGGATCACTTTTCCTTTAGATTTCTATGAGCATGTCAAGGATGTAGTGGATATAGAACAGCGACAACACTTAGCTAGACCTGGATGAAGTGTGTCAGAAGAAGCATTGCAAGAAGTGAGTGCAAATAGGGCACAAAATCTGCTTATGACATAAAGCCCTTTAAATAACTGAAGACTAAAAACTATGAGGAACTTCAGAGAGTCCCAAATAAGGTAAAACAGATCACAGTACAACAATCGGTGAAATTCAACTTGGTAAAATGCACAGTAGAAAAGCAATTTTTTCTCAGCCTTCATGCAGAGGGTTATGACAGCCACATCAAGTGCAGAAGGAGACTTCAGCATAGACAGCTCAAGTGAGATTACAGCACCTTGTGGTCTATGATTCCCACTAATGATATGTTAGACTGCAAAGTAGTCAGAGGGGACTACTGCAAAGAATATTTATCATTTAAAGGACCTCTCAAAATGATGTGGAATCTTGCACATCATGACATACTCAGTATTGACAAACATCAACTACAAGATGATGCCTCACCTGCTGGGGTGAAGCTCATGCACATTCTTTTAAGGCATCTGACGTTGTGTACTGTCAGAGACCAGATTAGACTGGAAGAACCTCCATTCTGATCCAGTCTGTCAAGTTGTACATGCTTATGCTTTTGTTGCATTTTAGAGAAAAGTATAGGTTTGCACACAGTTAATTGTGTTAACTACCCCAAAGTGTTCCTGTAACAACCCTTCAACCACCAAAATATAAGGAACACAAATACTGGTACGTACACTTCATCAACACCTCTAAAACTTCAGAGTTCTCCTGCATAGACACGTGCAAATTTCTGGTTGAGTACAGCGAAATAGCTGAACTAACCCAAACTCAACTTTTTGACAACGCAGTTACAATTGCTATATACAGAAATGGCTGCACCACTTTAGTACCATGAATAGTGCAGACGGTGTTTTGCGATTGCCTTTACCAAATGCTGGATCAGATGTGAATGGCACTTAAACTAACAGATGAAATGGCAACTGAAGGAAAACCAACAAATAAGAAACTCATATTCCAGAGAGAAAAGAGAAGAGTTCCACAAGCAGGAAATCTCAA